GGTTTAGGGTTTAGGTTTAGGGTTTAGGTTTAGGGTTTAGGGTTAGGGGTTTAGGGAGGGTTTAGGTTTAGGGTTTAGGGTTTAGGGTTTAGGGTTTAGGGTTTAGGGTTTAGGGTTTAGGGTTTAGGGTTTAGGGTTTAGGGTTTAGGGTTTAGGGTTTAGGGTTTAGGGTTTAGGGTTTAGGGTTTAGGGTTTAGGGTTTAGGGTTTAGGGTTTAGGGTACTGGCCTACCACGATGTTCTTGGGTTTCAGGTCTTTCGGAGTTTTAGGGGTTTACGACTTTGGGATTTAGGGCGTAAACGGCTTAGGGTTGCGGATTCTTGCCTTGCGCTTTCTGAGCAGCGTGCTGCAGATTAGCCCTACAACCTAAACCCTAAACCCTAAAACATAAACTCTAAACCCTAAACTCTAGACCCTAAACCCTAAACCATAGCCCTCAACCCTAAACCCTAAACCCCGCATTTCATCCAGGCAGCATCCGTGATGAGGTCGGGCTCTGCAGTGGCGTCCACCCCAAGGTACACGCAGAACTGCGAGACATACCTGGAGACTCTGGAGGGTTGGAGGGTTTTGGGTTTAGGGTTTAGGGTTTAGGGTCTAGGGTCTAGGGTCTAGGGTCTAGGGTTTAGGGTTTAGGGTTTAGGGTTTAGGGTTTAGGGTTTAGGGTTTAGGGTTTAGGGTTTAAGGTTTAGGGGTAAACTCCTCCTCAAATTGCGAGCAAGAGGGGCCTTGCTCATTGCACCCAGCAAGGAAATGATGTATAAAGAAAGGAGAACGGCTGCCACTGGCTTCCTGGCTGAACCCGAAACCCTCTCCGTGACTCGGACGCAGGACCCCAGTGACCCCGAAAAGAAGATGCTGCTTAAAGTAGCAGCCGGAGTTTAGCCCTAAACCCTAAAGCCCTAAACCCTAAACCCTAAACCTTTAGGGTCTGTAGGGTTGCACCAGAGGCGGGGGCACTCCACGTACTGCTCCTCCTCCGGCAGCGATGCGCAGGGCTTGCGCTTTAGGTTTAGGGTTTGGGGAGAAAGGGTGTAGGGTTTAGGGTTTAGGGTTCAGGGTTTAGGGTTTAGGGTTTAGGGTTTAGGGTTTAGGGTTTAGGGTTTAGGGTTGCGGGGCTTAGCGCATAGCCCATCGGAACCCGAAGCCCGGAACAACACCCTCAACCACTACGTACAGCTGAACCCCTAAACTTCTGAATCCTGAATCCCAAACCCTAGACTTCTGCACCCTGAACCGCCTAAACCCTAAACCCCTGAACCCGAAAGCCCTAAACCCTAAACCTCTCCAACCCCAAAAGCCTGCCTCCAAACCGCTAAATCCCCACTCCCCCCCTAACCCCAAATCGAGTCCTCCTCTGCTGATGTCTTGCTTGAAGCCTTCTCCTACAGGGAAGGGCTCCTTCCTGGTAAGGGTTTAGGGGATGTGGGCTGAGGGGTGAAGGGCTATGGGGGTTGAGGGTTTTGGAGCTCAGGTGTAAGGGTTAATGGAGCCGTAAATCTGCTCGATCCGGAGCTGCTGACCCAAACCCTAAACCCTAAACCCAAACCCTAAACCCAAACCCTAAACCCTAAACCCTAAACCCTAAACCCGGGATTTGGGTTCAGGGATGAGGTCCGCGACCCCCCACCCTCAGCGTCTGCGTTGCAAGCTTGAGATTCAGGCTGAGGACCGAAAGACCGCCACTCCATGGCGCTTCTCCGATTCAGAGGGGTCAGGGTTGCAGGATTCAGCTCCAGGGCTATGGTTTAGGGTTTAGGGTAACACTCGCTGCGTGCGCAACTTCCTGGGGAAGGCCGTAGACGCCATTTGGTTTCTCGTTTTCGGCTTTTGGCCATCAAGAGAACGTCCTGCTTCGGGCTAAGAGGCCTGGGATCAAGAGTGCACGGGATTTAGAGCTTCGGGCTAAGCCCTATACTGCCCTATACCGAGCCCTGAGCCCTAAGCCCCAAAACCCCAAACCCTCAACCCTCCCTAAACCCTAAACCCCAAACCCCCGAAACCCCAAAACCCTAAGCCCAACCCCGGAAACCCCAGCATCCTCCCCCTAAGGTTCCATGTACCTATAGAGTATAGACTCGGGCCCTAGAGCCACGATATGGCACCCTAAATAACGGGACCGGTAAGGATCCCCAAACGGGACCATAGTTTAGAGAAGCGACCAAATAGGAACCCCTAAACCCTAAACCCTAAACCCCAAACCCTAAACCCCAAACCCTAAACGCCAAACCCTAAACCCTAAACCCTAAACCCTAAACCCTAAACCCTATGGGAAAACGTTGACCCTTGGGGTCCGGGAGCCCCCAGCCTTGCCCTTGCCCGCCGACTCCGCTTCCTTGCCTCCACCTGGCTTTTGGAGTTCCTCTGTTTGGGCTTTAGGGTTTGGGGTTTAGGGTTGAGGGTTTGGAGTTTGGAGTTTGGAGTTTGGGGTTTAGGGTTTAGGGTTTAGGGTTTAGGGTTTATGTTTCGGGTTCTGGGCTTAGGGTTCGGGTTCTGGGCTTCGGGTTCAGGGTTTAGGGGGTGCAGATGGGCGGGTGGGAAGGGCGTTCTCCTCATAAGAGAAAAGCCCGGGGGATGCCCCCTCCCCCCATTGTGGTGACGACCTTTTTTCCTAAGGGCCCCCTGTGCTTGTGTTGTAAAAACTTGGGCCCTGAGGCTACGACAGAGGAACCCCTTTGGGGCCCAAGTATACACTACAGACAACATTGGTATGTGGACCATTTGGGTTTGTAGGAACTACAGATCAGCGGCTACTTAGATTTCAGCTGTCTCGGACGATCTGCTACTCCCCCTAAAAAGTCAAAGCCCTACTTGACAAGGGTTTAGGGATGAGGGTGTCGGGTTTAGGTTTAGGGCTGAGGGTTTAGGGTTTAGGGTTGAGGGTTTAGGATTTATGGTTAGAACGAATATCTTGGGCAGCTGATCTGTTCACCCTGATACCGTAAAAGCGTACCGGTAAGAACCCCAAGCCTTCTCAGGGCTGAGGGAGAAGCCCCAAGGGTGCAAAGTGCAAAGAAATTGGCCCAAAACCCTAAACCCTAAACCCTGAAAGTTCAGGCAATCGGGCTCCGCGCCGCCTTCCTTGCTTTCTTTGGGGCTGGTGGGCTTCTCCTCCTGTCTGGCAAGGCCACGATTCAGGGTGCGGGGTTCAAAAGCTTAGGGCCGAGGGTTGAGGGTTTAGGGTTTAGGGTTTAGGGCTTCGGGTTTAGGGTTGGTTTAGGGTTGAGGGCTTAATCTCTGCAAGCAAAGTCCGAACCCAAAAAGGGCAAGGCGATCAGCGCGCGGGGACCATCTTCGAAGCGCGGACGCGCGGACGGAGCCACTTGGGCAACCTTCTTTGGGTCCCCCGATGATTCTGTGGCCCCGTATTAATTAAGAAGTGCCCGAAGGGCCCAAGACCCCTTAAATAAGCAATAGACCCTTAAATAATGCCATCCCTTGCTTGGTGTGGAAGTGGCTAAGGCTAAGGGTCCCTTTATGAATGTACGGCATATCAATCAAGGGGAAATACGTCAGGGGAGATTAATTATCGGGCTCTCTGGGTACCATGATTAGGCAATTAAGGACCCTAAACCCTAAACCCTAAACCCTAAACCCTAAACCCTAAACCCTAAACCCGTAAGTTAGGGTCCTTGAAACTTGTGAGAAGCCCTCGGCCCTAGGCCTTGAAACTGCAAGCCCACACCAAGCGAAAGCCCCGATAATTAAGCTGCTTAGTAGCCCAGTAACCCTACTATAATAAGGGCAACCATTTTAGGGTTGGCTACTTTACAAGGGAACCCATACCCAAAAAAAGGGTAAAGGGTACCACAGAGTCTCTGTATACCTAATTAGCCCTACTACATTACAAGCAAGGTCCCTTGTAAGGGGTCCCTCCTTTCGTCCCTTGACATAAGCATCTCAAAACGTCCTGAAGACCATCCGACACCAACCGAATCAAACCCTCTGAGGATTTCGGGACCCGAGAGCCCTATAAACCCCAATGCCCCCCTAATCCCCCTAAACCAACCAAACCCCCTGAACCCCCTGAACCCCCTTAACCCCCTCAACGCCCTAAACCCTGTAGGTATCTGTAGGTCCTCTGAGTCTGTCTCGGCATTGATGGCCGTGACGATGTCACTGGGGGCGAGGAGGGGTCGCTTGTACCACGGTTTAGGGTTTAGCCCTAAACCCTAACCCGAAACCCTAAACCCAAAACCCGAAACCCCAAGCCCTAAACCCTAAACCTAAACACCATAGGGTTGGTGAGAATTTTGGGACTCCCAGAGGTCTTTTGTTCTAAAAGCTGACGGGGGTTTAGGGTCCAGGGCCTAGGGCCTGGGGTATATGGTCAGCCTATTTCGGGTACCCAAATAGACACTCTACTTTAGAGATTTAGGGAACCCTAAACCCTAAACCCTAAACCCTAAACCCTAAACCCTAAACCCTAAACCCTAAACCCTAAACCCTTGGGGTAGGGCTCGGAGGTTCGCGGGTTGGGTTTATGGTGGCGGGGAGCAGCCTATGCTTGGAGGACTTTCGGGATGAAATTTTCGAACAAATGGAACCCGATTTGGCTTTTGGAGGTTTTTACGGGAGACCCTAAACCCCAAACCCTAAACCCTTAACCCTTCACCCTTAACCCTACGTGTAGGAACCTCAGTTGGCCATGCGCCAAGCGGCTTTCAAGGGGTTCTATGGAGGATATAATACGTCCTGCCCAACTCCCTAAGCAAGGGTCGCTGTATGGTTAGAGTTTAGGGTTTTAGGGCTTAGGGTTTAGGATTTAGGGTTTAGGGTTTAGGGCTGGTACCTCATCACCTTCTTCCCTACTACAAACGGGTAAGTTTTGGCCCCAGCATCTCCACCCAAGTAGCAGGGACGGCACGGGCCATAGCCTGGAGTTCTCATTTGGCATATGCCCCTGTACAGCAAAACAGCGCGTGGCGGTCAGCCCCTCCGCAATGCGGTAGGTGGCAGCCGGAAAAAACTTCAACCTAGACCCACCAAGCCCTGTGCCATCACTGGGGGTCGGAGGCAGCCTTGGAAAAGCACTGCCGCCCGCGCGGCTTGTGCGAGACCAGCGCCACGTTTTGCCGGAGCCACCGGTCGCTGCCCGGTAGGCACTCCTAGCAAGGAAGATGGTTCACAACACTTCGAGGCTCCAGGAATTTTGGCTTGGCATGTGGGACCCCTACCAAAAGAGAAAAAGCTGGGGCTACACGCCTTCACCACGAAGTCCGCGACATCCGCGCGTGGGATGGTTGGGTAGATGCCGCACGCATCTTCCGCCGCGTGCCAGGACCCCTTGCCCTGGCCGTCAACTAGCCCACCCGGCCGCACCACGACCCAGTTCTTCAGAGTCCGGACCATCTCCTCACAGAACTAGAGGTGGCGGGGGGGGGCCGGGGTTGTAGGACTTGCCAAGTTTCGCGGTCAAACCTAAGACCTAAACCCTAGATCCCTGACCCCCGATGTCAGCCCCAACAACCTCTAAGCCCCAAGACCGCTGGCATACACCCGAAGCCCTGAACCCCCTGGTTCTTAGTAGGGAAGAAAAATACGTTACCCGATATTCATCGCCTCAAGGGTGTGTATATATATATAGGGGATATGGGGTACCTCAATCCCTCATTCCCTACTAAAAATCCTAAGCCTAAACCCTCAACCCTCAACCCTCAGCCCTCAACCCTCAACCCTCAACCCTCAACCCTCAACCCTCAACCCTAAACCCTAAACCCTAAACCCTAAACCCTCAACCCTAAACCTTAAACCCTAACCCACCATCGCCTCCTGCAGGTGCTTGTCCGCGAGGGCCTGTGGGATGATCCAGGAGGCGAAGAACTTTGCAAAGAGGCCGCAGTGCTGGTAGTGGTCTCCCACCTGGGCCCGTGCGCACATTAGGACTGGTTCCTAGTAGGGAATGAGAGAATGAGGTACCCTTTATAATATCCCCCTATATATATATATATATAGATATACATGTACATATATGTATATGTGTATATATATATATGCAACCACTGTCCCCCGGACTCTATATAACATATACCAATACATATATACATATATACAAACCCTCTAAGCAGGGATTCTATAGGGGACCTAATTCCCATCCCCTACACTAAGAATCAGCGGGTCTATGGGGTTCCGACTCCGATACTTGGGGTTTAGGGTTTCGGGATACAGCGGCCTAGAAACCCTGAGAAGCGGACGATCCTCACACATTCACTCTCAGTCCCTCTTGTGGATACCGTATCCGTCTTAGGGCAAGAAGCTCGAAATTGAGTGCCTTTTTCGGCCTAAGGGGCCTCCAGGGCTCAAAGATGTCCGGGCGCAACAACCCTGAATCACTAAGCCTAAACCCTAAACCCTGAACCCTAAACCCTCACCCTCAACCCTAAGCCCTAAACCCTAAACCCAAACCCTAAACCCTTAAACCCTCAGCAATCCAAGACATCTTGCTCGTGCGAGGTGCCCCAATGGAGCTGATGCACACCATGCGGGAGTCTGTAGATGTCCCCACAGCCTCGTTGATGACCTGCCGCCGCTAACTCTCCGGGACTGAAGGAGGGACCCGTGTAAGGGTCTGTTAACCCTCCCTCTCTCTATAAAACCTATGAACCCTAAACCCCCCTCTACTCAACTTACTGGATCGGAATTAGGGGGTTAAGTGCCCTCAGCCCGAAGCCCTAACCCCTAAACCCCAAACCCCAAATCCTAAACCCTAAACCCTAAACCCAAAACCCTTCACAAATCCCTCGGGTTCCTCTTTCCCGAGTTCCCTACGAAAGAAGCGACAAGCCAGGCTTGGGAACTCGGGGCTTCAGACCTCCGCTTGAAAGCTCGCGGCTTGAGCACAGGCTCCGGGGTTGCAAGACCCTGAACCCCCAAAAACCTCCGGTTTGGGGTTTAGGGTTTAGGGCTAGGGGCTTGGAGTTTGGGGTTTCGGGTTTAGGGCTAGGGGCTTGGAGTTTGGGGTTTAGGGTTTCGGGACCCTCAAACCTAAGCCTTCGAGTGAAACCCTCAACAACAAAGCACGCCCCAGCCTTCTGCGACTGGCTGCAAACATCCACGCCCGGCCCCTTGGCCGGCCCCCCCAAGCTTACGATCACCTTCGGCTTGGTACTTGGGGCTTTGGGGGGTTTTAGGGTTTGAGTTTTAGAGATCTAGAGCTGTAGAGTCTTGGAGTTTTAGAGCTCCTTAATTTCTTGTGTTTTGGGGTTAAGCTGCTCGGCCCCAGAACGGCCGACTACTTCTGACATCTATCGGGCACCTACGAATGTCAAGGCCTCACCAAACGTAATATAGGCACCTTTATAATTAGAATAAGGTTTTGGGGGGGCTATTAGAGTATAATTTTACAGGGGCCATAAGGGAGTACGATTAGGAATTATTCCTAAACCCCAAACCCTAAACCCTAAACACTAATAACACTAAACATATAAAACTGGCGACTTCTCTTCCCAGAGCACGGCATCCGCTCCCCGGCAGGTCTCTGCCACCGCATCAGCGTCCGTGGACGAGCCAGGCACCACCTGGGAACATGAGAGAAGTATGAACCCTAAACCCCATACGCCCCATCCCTTTAGATCGCTAAGAAGGTTGCTCTTGAGGGGTACCCGAAACTCTAATGCCTTCATCTGCAGAATCCTCAGCCCTACACCAGAAAACCCTAACAAGTTTCCCCAGAGAGCCCCAACACCACTTAATTGAGGAATGCAAATTGCAAAACAATGATCCCTGTTTGTGTACCCTAAACATAAGAGTGCCGCCTTATACTGCCAAACAACGGAGAGAAGTGGCAGGGGTCCTTAGCATGATTTAGGGTCTGTTCCTTACCCAAGGAGCCCAATGCCCCAATTTGCCTTAAAATCCTTTCTGATGTAAGGCATATTCCTTATAATTAAGGGGTTCTTAAGGCCTCTGAAGGTCTAAGACTTTACTTGGAGGTTCATGGTACTTAAACCCAACCACAACCGTACATGTCAGGGCACTTAAGAGGGGTTATAAGTACAGTTATCAGCTATCACTGGGTTATAAGTACCATGAACCTACAAGCAAACCCTCAGCCCTAGCACCCTCCCTAAAAAGCCTAAAGGGTGGAGGGTTGAGGGCTCATTCTTGAAGAGCCCTCTGCCTTCTAAGAGAAACTAGACCCAGGAAACAAGGGCCTGCTCCCGGTCCTAGGATATACGGCCCATGACTCCTAGCTTTCCCCCCCCCCCCCCCCAACCCCCGAAGCCCTGCCGTGATCAACGTCAGAACCCAGGTCCGTCCCCCAACTGTGACACCGTGTAAACCCTAAGCTTTCCTAAACCCCTAACCCCTAAACCCCAAGCCCTAAACCCTAAACCCTGAACCCCAAACCCTAAACCCTAAACTTAAGCCTGAAGGCCTCTATCCCAAGAGCCATGCAACCCCGCAGACCCTGAAGAGCCTACACAAAGGCCCCCCCCTAGCACGGCCCTAAGAAGAAGACACAAAAAAATAAAACAGCAACGGAGGCCTAACGCAAAAAGATGGCTTGAACAAGCCCTCACCCTCCCCCAGCCCCCCAAAAAAAAAAAATGGAAGGCCTGAACCTAGAGAGGGCTCTCCATGACTCTTCCACAGCCAACCCCTAAACCCTAAACCCTAAACCCTAAACCCTAAACCCTAAACCCTAAACCCTAAGCCCTAAACCCTAAACCCCAAACCCTAAACCTACGGGCCTGGATGCCCGTGGCTTCTCGCAGCCCCTGGGGCAGCTTGTCCGGGCTGCGGGCCAGGCACCTCACTTCCTGCAAGCTTAGGGTTTCGGGTTTAGGGTCTAGGGTCTAGGGTCTAGGGTCTAGGGTCTAGGGTCTAGGGTCTAGGGTCTAGGGTCTAGGGTCTAGGGTCTAGGGTTTAGGGTTTAGGGTTTAGGGTTTAGGGTTTAGGGTTTAGGGCTTTGAGGCAATCGCACTTCCTGCAAGTTTAGGGCTTGGAGGCAATCGCAGCTCCTGCAAGTTTAGGGTTGGAAGCTTACTCTGGGCTGCACACGGCTCACGTGTGATTTGGGGAGTCCACTTGGTTAGAAGAGGTATTTGATGCGAGCATGATACATACAGGAGTAATAAGGGAATTATCCTAAACCCTAGACGCCTAAACCCTGAACCCCTAAACCCCTAAACCCCTAAACCCCTAAACCCCTAAACCCCTAAACCCCTAAACCCCTACACCCCCCTAAACCCCCCTAAACCCCTAAACCCCCCTAAACCCCTAAACCCCTAAACCCCTAAACCCCTTAAACCCTAAACCCTAAACCCCAAAACCCCTAAACCCATAAACCCTTTTGCTCATTCCCGGTACAGTTCCCTTGTGAACGAGCTCGGCTGGCGCCTCGACTGCGCTGGAACCCAGGAGCCGGCGCAGGATCTCGACTCCAGTTCCTTTAGGGTTTTGGGTTTAGGGTTTCGGGTTTAGGGTTAGGGTTTAGGGTTTAGGGTTTAGGGTTTAGGGTTTAGGGTTTAGGGTTTCGGGTTTCGGGTTTCGGGTTTCGGGTTTCGGGTTTCGGGTTTCGGGTTTCGGGTTTCGGGTTTCGGGTTTCGGGTTTCGGGTTCAGGGTTCAGGGTTTGGGGTTTAGGGTTTTGGGTTCTTAAGTTTAGGGTTCTTAAGGGAGGGGGGTTCAAGGGGGGTATGTAACCCAAGGTTCCCTAACACTCCCTAAGGCTCCCTAAGCTTTGCTAAGGTGCCCTAGGTACCCACCCCCCATGAACCCCCCTCCCTCAAGAACCCTACAATAGTAAATCGGTACCTAGAGAGCCCTAAAAAAACCTGGATTTGTGTTCTCAAGGGCCCCCCAGTACCCTCTCCGCCCTAAGCCCTAAACCTTACTTATAGGGTTCTTAAGGGACGGGGGGGTTCATGTGAGGTAGGGGTGCAGGGAACCCTTAGGGAAGCTTAGGGAGCCTTAGGGAGTCCTGGGAAGTATTAGGGAACCTTAAGTTACATACCCCGCTTGAACCCCCTCCATCAAGAACCCTAGAATTTAAGGAATATGCCTGAAATAAAAGAGGGATCTGTAGTAGGAGTTAAGGAATGCTCCTTGTTGAAGGGGTATGGGGCTCCTCGAGGACCCCTTTGATTTAGGAAGATGCCTTACATCATAAAGGGATCCTGAATATGTACTGCGGTAAATTCCTGAAATTTGGGCTCTCGGGGATTGATTGCAACTCTTGCAAGATTCATATTATTGCAACAGTGTTGACTATGAGTCTTGTGGTATCATTGTTATTGCAATCTGTTCATTCGGATTTATTTTATTGCAACAATGTTGACTATGAGTCTTGTAGTATCATTGTTATTGCAATCTGTTCATTAGTATTGTACTTCTTTTGCTCATTATGATT